GGAGGGAGGGATGGAGGGAGGCTCAGAGGAGCGGAGGGAGGGATGGGGAAGGCAAAGGAGGAGTGGAGGGAGGGATGGAGGGAGGCTCAGAGGAGGGGAGGGAGGGATGGAGGGAGGCTCAGAGGAGCGGAGGGAGGGATGGGGAAGGCAAAGGAGGAGTGGAGGGAGGGATGGAGGGAGGCTTCGAGGAGGGGAGGGAGGGATGGAGGGAGGGATGGGGAAAGCAGAGGAGGAGTGGCGGGAGGGATGGAGGGAGGCAGAGGAGGAGTGGAGGGAGGGATGGAGGAAGGCTTATAGGACGGGGGGGAGGGATGGAGGGAGGCAGAGGAGGAGTGGAAGGAGGGATGGAGGAAGGCTCAGGGGAGCGGAGGGAGGGCTGGCGGGAGGCTGCGAGGGCTGGCGGGAGGGATGGAGGGAGGCAGAGGAGGAGTGGAGGGAGGGATGGAGGAAGGCTTATAGGACGGGGGGGAGGGATGGAGGGAGGCAGAGGAGGAGTGGAAGGAGGGATGGAGGAAGGCTCAGGGGAGCGGAGGGAGGGCTGGCGGGAGGCTGCGAGGGCTGGCGGGAGGGATGGAGGGAGGCAGAGGAGGAGTGGAGGGAGGGATGGAGGAAGGCTTATAGGACGGGGGGGAGGGATGGAGGGAGGCAGAGGAGGAGTGGAAGGAGGGATGGAGGAAGGCTCAGGGGAGCGGAGGGAGGGCTGGCGGGAGGCTGCGAGGGCTGGCGGGAGGGATGGAGGGAGGCAGAGGAGGAGTGGAGGGAGGGATGGAGGAAGGCTTATAGGACGGGGGGGAGGGATGGAGGGAGGCAGAGGAGGAGTGGAAGGAGGGATGGAGGAAGGCTCAGGGGAGCGGAGGGAGGGCTGGCGGGAGGCTGCGAGGGCTGGCGGGAGGGATGGAGGGAGGCAGAGGAGGAGTGGAGGGAGGGATGGAGGAAGGCTTATAGGACGGGGGGGAGGGATGGAGGGAGGCAGAGGAGGAGTGGAAGGAGGGATGGAGGAAGGCTCAGGGGAGCGGAGGGAGGGCTGGCGGGAGGCTGCGAGGGCTGGCGGGAGGGATGGAGGGAGGCAGAGGAGGAGTGGAGGGAGGGATGGAGGAAGGCTTATAGGACGGGGGGGAGGGATGGAGGGAGGCAGAGGAGGAGTGGAAGGAGGGATGGAGGAAGGCTCAGGGGAGCGGAGGGAGGGCTGGCGGGAGGCTGCGAGGGCTGGCGGGAGGGATGGAGGGAGGCAGAGGAGGAGTGGAGGGAGGGATGGAGGAAGGCTTATAGGACGGGGGGGAGGGATGGAGGGAGGCAGAGGAGGAGTGGAAGGAGGGATGGAGGAAGGCTCAGGGGAGCGGAGGGAGGGCTGGCGGGAGGCTGCGAGGGCTGGCGGGAGGGATGGAGGGAGGCAGAGGAGGAGTGGAGGGAGGGATGGAGGAAACGAGCCCCCCGACACCTCAGAGTGACCCCCAAGAGCCACCAAGCACCCCAAAACCCCCAGCGTGACTAACCAGACCCCTTGAGATGCCCCACTCGGGACCCCTGCACTCCGGAGACACCCCAGGGTGACCCCCGCGCCCCTCAGCATACCCCAGAGGTCACCCCAAAATCCCCCCCAGTGCCCCACGTAGACCCTCGCCGGGGCACAGCCAGGGGGTCTCAGCCCCCCACGGCACCGTGCCCACAGCAGACCCCTCCCCATCCCCTGCACAGCCCCGCCAGGCAGGGTACGGGCAGGGTACGGGCAGGGAAGTGGGTGCAGCCCTGCACAGCTGCCTCCAGTCCCTGCATCCCTGCACCCTCGCTGCAGGAGGGGATGCGGGCCCCGCAGCGGGAGCGGAGCGGCTGGGGTCTGTGCCCGGCGGCCAGGCTGCGGGCAGAGCCGGGGAGGTGGCACACAGGGACCCCCGGGCAGCCCCTCGCCGCGGGCAGCCTCTCCCGCCACCGCCCTCGCGCTCGCGTGCCGTGCGGGGGCTCTGCAGCCGTCCCCCACGCGGCTCCACGCTGTGCCCCTCCCCCTCCCTCG